CAACGACGCGCTCACCACGCTGCCCCGTGCCCCTGGGGATGCTGCACGCACGCGCAAGTAACAGCATCACGTATCCCCTCTACGTTTCCCCTACTTCACGCAATTTGACTCTGAGCAGCCCACTCTGACACGTACAATCCTTCTGTGCCTTCGACGAGGCAAGACATACATGCCGGGGTCTGTGAAGGCGACGATAAATAGCAAAAGAAGGCAAAGGGCCAGCAGAGAGAAGACAAATACGCTGCAAACAAACTGGTGCGCCGCAGGAATAAGAGGCATCCTGAGGCCCAACAACAGCAGCACGACACGGGCAAATAAATCAGCATGAGCTCGATGAACGGCGGTGGGCGCTACAGTGAGTAGGAAAATGAAGCCACTGCCACACCAGCCACAGGAGCAGACTGAAGTACAATTGCGGTGTGTTCGTACACTGATCGATAGTAGAGAAGGCAGGGACCTAGAAGCAACAAAACAGAGACAGCAAGGTGGAATGGCTCGGGCCCCGTCATCAGTCGCCCGTCACAGCAGAAGATGTTCCTTCCCTCCCATGCTGCACCACAACCAGCCGCAGCCACACGATCCCATGAGCAACAACAGCACTCCACCACGTACTATTACACACATAAAATATTAATGCACTGGTTTTCAATTAGTGAGTTCTGCTGACAAAAACGTGGGCAGACGAGTGGCTCCCGACTCAGCAACATATGAGCGGGCAAGGCTGAAATACCGACAACGTCGTCATCCTTACATTTATATAGCCGTTGCCGACGCAACAACCTTCCCTGCTCAACTGGTACCTCAGGCAGAAGCTGCGGCGGCATCTGCTGCTGCTGCTGCCGCTGAAGCAGTATTTGCTGCTGCGGCCGCTGCGGCTGCGCTTCATCTGTGCTACTCTCTACTGGGAGTAAAGCCATCAGGAATTTCCATTCACGGCAATGTCTCCTGGTTGCCGTTGCTACCGGGTGCTGCTGAGACAAGCGGCTGACAGCGCAGCCGGTGGAGCAGCCCGACTCTGCCGCGGGCGCTGAGGCCGCAGCCGTCTCTCTCCAATTCCGAGGAAACTGTCCAAATAAGAGTTAGCTAAAATCCCAAGACCACTTCCTTGCGCTGCTGGAGTTTCCTCAGAATGCATGGGGAAAAAGCGACGCGGGGTCCATCGGGGGCCTTATCTTTAGTGTGTAATGATGTGCTATGGAGGCGGAGCTCGCAGTTTATCTCCTCTCTTGCCTCTTGGAACAACCATCTTCATTTTGGTTTTCTTTGGTAAGAAATTTCAGAAGGTATACCTACCTTGCAGCACCGCAGTCATTTCTGCTACACCATTCTGGGGCCCGCGAGTTCTGTGTACCATTGCAGTAGCGACAGGGCCACGGCACGGGACGTGACCCTCGTTCGCCGTAAAAGAGGCTAGAGAAGCTCCCTAACGTTTCTTGAGTAGCATCTTCCGTTTGGTTTATCTTTCTAAATTGTCAGGTGGAGGCTGGCACTTTTACAGAGAAGTTAGAAGAGGGGCTTTTCAGCGGTTCCAACTGTACCGTAACACAACGGATTTGGCTGTCACTGAGACCGTTCGGCCGGCGGCTGGTTAGTACCAGTTTTCTCCTCTTCGATTAGCTTTCCCTTTTCATGGAACCCTTAGTAACAGTCTTGAGTGGCAGCGTTAGGCAGCAGTGGGTAGGCAGAAAGTCACTTCGGCCGGCGACGCTGTTGCTAGGGCCCTCGATTGAAGAGGAGGACAGCCGTGAAGGCGGTTTAACTCGCTTGCAGTCTTCAAGAGTCATGGGAATAACAGCACAAAGGCCTGGGGTTGGTGTGGGGGGCAGATGGCGCCTTACGGATTGAAGCAAGCCTCGCTGCAACTCCTGCTCCTGCTGCAGGGGACATCCAGCTCCCCTTTAGGAGAGTGTATTAACGCTATAGTATACAGTAGAGCATCCTTATGGACCTACTTGACCCTCAGTTGTCAGGCTGGACGCAATTAGAGATACACCTACCAACGCTAGACAGACCATGCTACAACTCTCAGCACATAGGGCACAGGCAAATGGCGGCAGGATCCGGTCGTCGCAGCGTCATGCACTTAATGATGACGGTCACAACAACACTAGCGGCAATGGCAACAGCAAGAGAGCCGGCAGATACAGCTTCTGGCTTCCAGCAGGAGGTCCAAGCGCCACAGGTACAAAATACCATGAGGATGGCTCCTACCGCAGCCCCGCGCCGAATTTTTGCTATATTAAGGAGCTAAAGTTGCAGAATCAACGAAAGATTTCAACGTGGCTCAGGTGGAAGCGACAATCCCTACCGAAGATAAGGTTGTGTGCGTGCACAAACTGCAATGCCCGCCTGCTGCAAAGGCATACCCCAAGCACTCTGCCTTAAAAGCCGCAGTCAACGATTCTCATGGAGGTTGCAACAAAAAATGTCACGCTTGGCATTGTCGGCATGGTCGCGTACGGGCCAGGAGGTTTGTCGTAGCAGGATGCCTGCTCACAGAATGCCACGCACCGGTTGGAACGATTGAGACAAATTGCAAACCCCCCTGTACCGTGATATTGCTTGACAACAAACCCAGTCAGAAGGGAAGAGAGCCTATACTGCGCGAGCCGCCTCATGGCTGGCCGCGCGCTATGAGCGGAGCACCGGGTTATTTCTAAGTAAGCCCCTTTCTGAGCATTCACAGCAGAAAATTTGTAATTTTTAGTCTTGAAGTAAAGGCGTATGCGTACAAATGGAGTAGCAAGTAACCAACAAGTGTAGATATACATAACAAACTTGGTCATGCATGCGGGAAACCAACTCAAGACCATGAATGCAGGCCTAAATGCACAGTAAAAAGCTGTCCGAGCCCATCTCATTCCCGTTTGAGCTGGCAATGGGAAAGATCCCCCAGCGCAAAGTGACAGCGAGCAAAAGATGAGAATTACCGAAAGAACGAAACAAAGACAGAGAAGGCAAAGCCGGCCAAAGAATTTATGTGCGTGCCGGAACTGCTGAGAAAAAGGAAAAAAGCTCTGGCCGCGCAAGCCCGAGGAGGTAACTAGCCTAGAGGCCGTTGCAAAATAAACTGCTGAAAGCACCTGGCCGGGAACAAGCACTTCAGCGTTGATGGGCGGACCAACCTTCATGCGGTAGGCACACCTGTATAAGCGAGCGGCTTCAGAGTTATTCGACACCCGCACGAAGCGCAGCAGCGTCAAACTGTGGACCCCGCGAATACATAATCCTCAAGTAGCCGGAATTTGTCACGGCTTTCGTTGTTCCTCAGGATTCGCCCCTCAACATCTGACAGACAACTCGCAGCAAAACACGGTACTTGACGCCCTCTTCAAGAACGTAGCCAAGCACTGAAGTGTTTGCAGAAGTTAAGGAGAAGAAGAAGAGCTGCATCAACTTCAATGGAAAGTTCTACAGTAACCTCAAACTCGGCAAGCATGAGCCCAGAGCGAACCACGCAAAGATTGCGAAGCCGCTGCGTTGCAAGAAGTGTTGTACGAGCCCTAATCTTTGTCCACGTATCCCGTTGTAGGCGACCGGGCGCACGAAGAGCTGTGCTGCTTGGGAGAGAGCTGGGGCAGTTGTAGCATGGTGCGCCTGCATTTAGTACGTGCTACTTGCATGCAGGCTGGCAACGGGGGGCAAGCAACTCCTTCACAATGTTCTACAATGTGAACGCATGCATAAAAAGGGGAATTGGATATGCTTCCACGTAAGCTACCTTGCAGCATGAGTTGTAGCAAGGCTTCAGCTCATGAGAGAGGCTGCCTCGTCTACGTACCAGCCCCAGATCTTTGCGGTGTGCCGCTGTGCTAAGGGTATTTGGATCATAATGGGGAAGTTGGCCGTTTTGGGAATTCTGATCTTGCGTGTTTAGGCTCTGCTGCAGCTAACGGCGTTCCTCCGCAGAGATCGAGGACTCTCCCTACTAGGTAGAGGACTCTCGCTACATTACCCACACAATTAATTTCCTGCAAAATTGATACAGTAATTCTTAATATGTGAACACTCAATAAATAACGCAATTGTCGACGTATGTGGGGGCGTTATAGCCGTAGCACTCCGCGCTCCATTAGCGGCAGGTGCAGCAACACACAAACCTGTGATGCTGACTTCTAACGGGAACGCAACGCGGCACATCTTGACAGCATACTGGAAACAGGAATATGGAAATATAATCCACTATCTACTACTCGGAAATCCAAGTACAAAGACTTGCCGATACTTTTGTCGCCAGCTTGGGTAGTCTACTCCAGTATGCACACGGGCTTATCCAGCCCCAACAATTGCTGCCGGTGTCTTGTTAGTTCTAGGCACACTCCAGATGCAATATAGTTAGGCAATTGAGCTCGTTTCTACCTCAACTTAATTTTATATGATTATTCTAGGCTTTTTCTCTGAGTTCCAGGCCTACGGAAGTGCTCGGCACTACGGCTGCTCGCATCAAGCCGCTGTAGTCAGCAAGCCCGCAGCCACTAAGGGAGACTTTGCGAGAGAACAAAGAAAATATTACCTCATGACAGGCGCTATTACTTGATCTGCTAGAGTATACAAAGACTGTGTCGGGACAGCCGTTGTTTTCGCCTCAAACCCAGTACTAACCAGCATCTTCTTGGAGGGGCGCACGCTAGGCGCTCATCTGCGTGGAGGGGCGCGCGCTATACGCAAACAGGCGCCCTCAGCCTACAGTTGAAAAGGATTTATATTTCTTCCTGCTCCCTTCTGTCTCATATTTCGTGGCACATTCGTTCTTGCCGACAGTGGGGGAGCCACTGTGGCTGAATGCACCCCTGTGTGACTGGCGCTGTCGGGTGTTGGTTTAGGATATGTCCCTTTAAACCCGCTTGCCCGGTGGGCTTCGCTTCCAAAAACCCTTCGGCTTGTGTTCTGCCATCGCATGGAATGCTTTCAAAGAAGCAGCTGCAGGGGCCTCCAGCAGCCCCAGCGGGATCCACGCAAGCAACTCGATCCCACGCCCGCTGCCTCTGCTGCTCCACAAAATGGCTCAGAACGCACTGAAGAAATCCCCACTTGATGAGGCGGGGACCCCTCAAAGCCATGAAAGCGAGGACCTCCAAGGAGACGAGGGCCTCCCTACAGTAATCGTGAGAGGCCCAAGGCAGCTTCCCCTAGTGGGGGCTACACCTGCACCCGCTGAGGGTGCAGGCGTGCCGTTAGAACATCACTCAGAGGAGGCGAGAGAGGCTCCTAGGGAAAAGAAGCCATCCGGAGGGTGCTGCTGCGGCAGCTGTGGCTCCGGTGTGGGCACCCCTCCTTGCCAAGATACTGTCCCATCCTTGGAAGGCGAGGCAAGGCCTCGAAACTGCAATTTAGCTCTCAGAGAAGCTGCCCCTCTAGCTGACTGCGTCGGCAAAGACTCCCGCAGCGGCAGCAGCAACGGAGACACGCCCTCCCTACTAAAACGAGCTCAGGAGCGCCCCCTCTTCTGTAGCGTGGGTGTCCACAGCCTGACACCCAACAAGCCAGCCGCGCGAAAACGCACTTCGTCGGGACAACGCCCTCGGCAACAACAGCAGCGAGAGCAGCATCTGCTACAGATGAGTGACGTCGCTGCCGGCGATTCACAGCGCGAGGGAGATGAAGCGCGCAACGGGGCTCGGTGTGCGGCTTGTGGGACTCTGAAGGTGAGGGCCCCCATTGGGTTCAATTTTATGCAAAACCCGGCGCCTTCATGGGGCCAGCTTCGCATGGCAACGTGTGCTGAGGCACCTGAGGCTGAAGCGGCAGCAACCCCCGGAGCCAGTGTCCCGCTTGGCACCAGTGGGCCTCACCGGAAGCAACTGAGTGCTGAGGACTGCCCGTGGACACTGCCTGTCGGGGGCCCCACGGGGGGTGGATCTTATCATCTGGTGAGACAACAGCAGCAGCAGCCAAGGCAGGGGGAGTTTGTGGCTGGCAGCTTGCAGTGGGGCCAACCCACGTCGTTTTGGCTCGTCGAGTCGGTGAAGGATGAGGGGGTGGAGAGAGAATTTAGGCGCCTCTTCAGGATCAATTCGCCAGTAAGCCGCCGAGGGGAAGGATAGAGGGTGGGGTTTGCGAAATGTTTTTGCATGCGCTGCAACCAGGTGCAAGGCATTACTGCCAACTGCCTCCCGTGTTTGCATCTTTTGTTGAAATTCGCACTTCAGGAGCCTTCGGGTCGGGCGCGACAGTCTAAGTACACCTATTGCGAGTCATTGGGGCGCTGAGGTTTTTTCTGTCTTTACTGTTCAGGATTCCCGCATCGCTCTGTCATCTTTTCGACTTATAGTGACATTCATGGTGGTGCTGGCGGCGCTCAAGTATGGGGTCAGCACATACTTTCCCCCCGCCATTAAGGTACGTGCGAATGAACTGGTGCGCAGCTTAAGCGTACTTGGCTATTTGGCGGTCCGTTGTCTTGGCAATGAGTCCATTTGCTGAGCATTTTAAGCTCTGGAAGTACGCATTTGTGTTTGTTTGCTTCTGCCTGCAGACAGCCTTTATCTGCTTCTTCTGCGCTGACCTCTTGATCTGGGGTTTCTTTTCATGTGAGGCTGCTTTACGCGCCCGTGCTATGGGGCTGAAGCGTTTCTTCCGAGACCGGCAGTTTCTGTTTGACACCTTCTTGCAGTTGGTGGGACTCTCTGCTATCTTTCTCCGTATCTGCATCCTTGTGAACGTCGGCGGCCTGGGGACGCGCGTGTTTGACCCGGATTCGCAACAATGGAAAACGGGCATTGCGAACGATTTCATTATTGGAGATGTGCAGATTGCACTCGTGGTGCGTTCCGCGAATACTTCTTCCGGCAGATCAGCATCACTAAGCGCATTTACACTCCGGTGGTTCGTACTGGGAAATTGCGCGATAATATTGTTTGTTACACAAATTGGCAACATGCTGCTTGCTACATCCTTAATATAAATGTATTAAAAAATGAACAAATTAAAACAGCTTTGCCTCCTCACTGCATCAATAAACATACAAATTAAAACTGTTGGTTTATTTAAATATCTCCTACCACGCTGAAAGATGGAAACCTGCTTTTTCTGTTGTCAGTATTCTACTAATTATGATTCTGTTTATTAGTGCTTTCATTGTCGCTATTTTGTTGTTATTATCATTTTCACCATTGTTACTGTCACAATTACTTTTTCCACTAGTATCACTATTTATTGTTGTTATTTATGTTTATGCTCGTTGTATAATCATCCACAAGTCTCAATATACACTGTTCCGTACGTAGATGACGTCTTCGTGTTATGCTGGATTCGTAATTTTAGATGAAATAAGGTTTGTATTGTGTGAGAATGAGGTGTGTGTGTGTGTGTGAGGAGATGCGCGATACTCTATTTGTTCTGCCTATATACTAAATGATATCTTTATTGTATCTAAGTAAATAATTTATGCACTACGTTGGGCGCTCACTATTTTGTAATGCATTATACATAAATAACTGCGTAGAAAGAACGAGGCGCATATAAAGCAGCATATATATATATATATATGTGTAGCAGGGTGTGGCGTCATCCTCTGGGGTCCAGATGGAT